TACAATCATTATTTGAGATTTGACATTTGACACGTTGGTCTCTGATACAGACATATGAAACGACATTGCCAGTGGTAGCATTTTATTGTTACAATTAAGTTTATAAAATCAAGATAATTATGAAGATTGATAATTATCACTTCGAACCCTGATTTTTTCACTTAGGCGTACGAGCACACTGGATAATTTTTACGTCAGTACAAAGGTGCAATTAGTTACTTATTAAACTCTAACACAATTAAAATGTATGATAAAGGACGGCATACTGCAGTGGGTTGTAATCATTGACTTACAAATAAATGGACGACGGGTCTAATACAAAAACCACGAAAAAAAGTCCCAAGTCAACCTATTCGAAATTTAAATTGTTATGTCATCGCAGTATCGCGCTGTCAGTAGAACAAATGAAGACTAAAGCGGAGTGTCGCGCTCTGTATACGATTTTAGCGCCTTACAAGTGCGGACACTTTTTAGTCGACGTCCATATAATTGTAAGTCAATGGTTGTAATTTATGATCAAACTTTTTTTAGTTCATTACAGCCATACCTACCCTACGCTTTGAAGTCTTCTTAAATTAGTAGAGCAATAGTAAATAATCGAGAGGTATAGTAAAACAAGAAGTATGCGTAACTACGCATTGTAGTTATACATACGTAACACAGACCACATAAATACTATACACAACAACATAAGAACAACTTAGTAGTTTAGAACAATTTAGTAGCAGTAGAGCTCCTAGTGAAAGTGTTGATCCAGGATAGTACTGACACCTTACCTATTTCTGCCGCCAAGCAGTAGTACCAGCATTACTGTGTTCCGGTTTTAAAGGGTAAGGGTGCTGGTGAAATTACAGGCACACGTCAAGTTATGTCTCAGATCTTTGCAATTTAAAGCTCTAAGTGGCACTGTGTAACTGTTATGGACAGGCGTGTAACTTACCACCAGGCGCACGATTTGGTCGTCGCGTCACTTGATATTATAAAATAAAACTTGACAGTTATTTCATAGATATTTTAATATTGTGATAACTTATTACGCCGCGTTTTTAGTTGTTAAGCGCAAGCTACACCGCGAACGAAGCTAGCTAACTGAGCTTAGCTCACGTACCCATACACGCAACCAACTTGACTAAGCATACGTGCGGGGATGAAGGGCGGCAGAAGGGCGACATTTATTATATTTTATATATTATCGTTGGGTTAGTTTAGTTAGCTCGGTTAGCTTAGTTCGCGGTGTGAACCGAAATATGCAAAGATGCCCCGGCAACGTGAGCTACGCTATTTGTAGCTTCGTTCGCGGTATGCCCTGCGCTTTAAGAGTTTGGTGAGGAGGAGTTGTGTAAAAGACGAATTAAACAGTTGCGCGTAAAATTGTGCATGTTTTTCAGCTGCTGGAAAAAACTTTCTTTGACTTTCCCCTGCCGTGTAACAATACTATAAAAAACTGTATGGCTTTATTATATTCACGAGACTTTCTTTACCCTACAAGAACATACGCATGAAACTGCCTCGATCGTTGTCGATTTCTGTCTCCACTTAAGAGTAGCTACGTTGTACGAAAATCTATATTACATTTGCATTCGCCTAAAAACATTACCGTGTTGCGAAAATAAACCAGAAAACCTTTCCGAGCTTTTGATTACATCTCTCAAGCATCGAAGTTGCCAATCTAATTAATTTACCCATTTCTAGCGCAACCACAATGAGATCAGAAAGTACTGAACGTAATTTGTGGAGTAACAGCTTGCTATGAATATTTTAAATGTAATTAGATAGAACAATCGAAGCTACACAAAGAGAAATTACTCCGGTATAACCTAGTTTAGAACAACAGACGTTTGGGGAATTGTTGGGGGGTATTGTGACAATATCTGCTGTCCGACTATTTGTTTACAAAAATTATCTGCCATGTCCAGTGACCGTAATCGAGGGAATTAATTTCTGCCGTCCACTAACTCAAACGCGGCTAAGTGATAAGAGGTCAAATATTTATTTATTTCAAATAGCGCTCAAAATTCTCTTCTGTACACAGTTAAAGTTACTTAACGAGTCCGATTTTCTAAAACTGGTTCAGGCTAATGATTTTTTTATAATATCTAAAAAAAATCTTTTTTGACATAGCCGCATTTTAGTTAGTGGATGGCAGATTTACATAGTTCATACTTTTGGTAAATCTGCCATCGACTTACTAAAATGAATGAATGAAATGACATACTAAGAAAACGTTCATTCATACGTTTTTAGTATGGACATACCCATTTTGTTATCACTGCCTATTTTATTTGTAAGTCAACGCTGCCTATATAAAATTTCCTTTTTTTACTGTTTATTTTCTAAACATTCCAGAATATTTTTAAATGGATATAAAGTGTTTAAATACGTAAGTACCACTACAATATTATTGTTTTTAGACAATAATTTGTAGCAAATACTTAATAGGTAACAATAATTTGTCGCCTATGTATACTCAAATTTCAATAAATACCTAATACGCATATCGTCGGGGATAGTGCAAATCTGTGTATGTAGTACTGATAAAAGGCGCATATCTACAACAAACTAAATTTTACAGGATAGGGATTTAACGTTATCACTTTGTTATTTCAATGGCAATGACCGTCATTTTTGCATAGTAAGTATTAATTATGTTGTCTCCGACTTATAACAATAGATTAGTAAAACACGCTAATTTGGTTGCCACGACATTTAGGTACGCGGATTTGATTTGGTCACTAACTTGCCGAAATAGAAACTCATAATCAAATGCTAGTTACGCGTTTCCCCAACGTTATTCAAATAAGTATAATCAGTTCCGAGAAGTCCCGGGATTTATAGAAGGGAATGTCCACGTTTTTCTTTGGTGTAGCTAAATTAACCCTCTCAACTCCGATCACTGCATACAGGGTGTAATCGTTAAGTGTGCCCTGGCGATTATTCCATAAATATAAGAGATATCAGAAACCTACAAACCGATATCAAAAGTAAGTCATCTAATGAGTAGAATGACATCGATAACTTTTTAAAATAAAACTAGAAATATCCAAACGTTAAACGCTCCCATTGACATTCGTGAAGAGGCTTTAGTTTCGAACAACTGCTTTAAATACAAAATTTTTGTACTTATTTAAAAATAAACATCACTTTGTTTTTATTCAATTAAAATAGTTTTCTTAGGTACTTTATCTATAGAGTTTCTTTATCTGTAAACTTATTGCATTTCGGACTGTTGGTTACACTCTAAACAGGTCAACTATAACAAAGCATTATTTATTAGGTTGTTCAGAAACGATAAAAGCCTAGTGAAAATACTAGAATAGAAAGCTTGTGGGCGAGGTGTGAAGTTAATTAGGCATTGTAAGTGCTCTCCATTTCCTAGGTTAGGTTAGCAACGTTGTGAAATTCGTTTTTAAAATTCCGTACAGTTATTTTGCCAGAAATAAATATTATTTTTCATATTATGTAGTTATTCTCGAACTTATTTATCTACCAAAAGTATTATTCTTTAGAATAGCACTTTTGGTAGACATATCATATATCTATATAAGGTATATAGGTAGGTAGATAAATAGTAGGTACTCACTCGGCCTACTTAATATTTGTGTACTGTGTAGAACTACTTCCTGCACTACAATTCTATTATTGAATTCGTATTAAGCCAACTATCAAAAGCTTTACAAAGTTATTAACTTTGTAAAGCTTTTGAAGCAGAACGACCTGCCGTTTCTGACACGGGACTAGTCAACGCGAGAGTGCACTTTGTGAATTAATAAGGGACCCAAATGCAATTTACGACATATAGGTAACATTATTTAACTAAAATGTAACCAAGATGATGAGAGAAACTGGCAACTAGAAGCTATTATTTTATTTTCATATAATTGATATCAAATCGACACAGTTACCGGTTACGGCAACCAGACACAGTCGCCAGCTGTCGCAACTTGTATGAAAATAGAATATTCGCTTCTAATTGCCGTTTGCTTGTATCCAACACAAGACACGTTTGCGCAGCGCCTTACCGACCAACTACCCAACTCTATTTGTATGCCGGATAAACATATTTACGACATCAAAACATACCTGCAGTGTTTCATTCAAACGTCTCCATTCTCCAAGAACTCTGCTTGATGCAGCGTCTGTCTACTGTGGCACAAACTCGCATCCTAGAATTCTTTGGTAACGTCTCAAGACGGAATATTGACTGCATGGAGCGTCTTGTCGTGCAGGGCAGAATAGAGGGCACTAGACTGCGCGGAAGGTCGCGCCATTGCGGTTACCGCAACCAGGGACAGTGTTCGACTGCTGCCACTGGCGTCTGTGTCCGGTTGCCGCAACCGCCGACTGTGTCCGGTTGCCGCAACTGGTGACTGTGTCGATTTCATATTAATTATATGAAAACATAATATTTTTATAATTTCACTTTTTAGCCCAAAATTAAAGTTAAAAGAAGTGTACGAATCTGCCCCGCTTCCCCTATGTTGAACAATTATGGTTTGGTACCATTTTGTAAGATTAAAAAAGCAATTTTGGTACCATTTCGTAACATTATAAAAGCAAGTATTTTCATAATTACATTCCTTTCCATGACCTTCATACCATGTCAATGTAAACTTTGTTTATTTCTGTTAGGGATTAAAAATTTGTCTTATCAGAACTCCCGAAGAATGATTAAGGTGCGTCTTTATAAAATAGTGAGGAGTATTTCATTATTTGTATCTACCGATTATTCCCACTAGTTCTGTTGACAGAACTACTGGTACTTTCTTCCCGTTGGTTCTGATAACAGAACAAATGGAATTTATGATTTCTAGTAGTTCTGTCCGATTATTCCCACTCGTTCTGTTTTACTGTTCTGTACCACTGAGCTTTTAGAATGTTTATTTCACAAAACTTGCAGGACGCTTCGTCTGAAGTCCTCATTCAGTTTTGTAAATAAGCTGGCTTTAGAATTATGGAAATAGATATGTAAATTAACCTCAAATTTATTATAAATCCCGCAGGATCATTCCGATGGATCAACGACTCCCCGCACAGACGACAAATCTGGTGGACACTCACCGGCCGCCACTGAAGTTACGTACTAACGACGCTTACGTTGATGATTTAATTCCGAATAATTAATAAAGAGAACACCATTTCCATTTCTCTCAAACTGGCCAAGTAGGGCCCTTCGTCCATTTGAATCCCCTGGGGGATTTACGTGGCTTTTTTGCCCACATGGATCCCCTGGCATAATCCGGGGTAGGTACATAGGTACCGTCAGTCGTGGCTTCGAGAGATATTGTATTGGATTCTTCGTAATGGCCTCAAATCGAAATAATAATTCGTGGTTGCAGGGCTTGGGAACGACAGCGAAAGGTGATGGTCAGCCACTACCCTTTTAGATCGTCTCTCCCAACGAGGATTTGCAGCAGACACTCGCCTTGCTCTGCCTCCTACAGGTAAACGAATTTTGGGGCTCCCCGGGTTTATCGTTATACTAAATGAATGTCAAACAATTAGGCTCAATTTGCAATTTGCGGAAGGACCTTACGTATTCAATTCTGGTTTCTTTTTTTGTATCAAGTGACAGGACGAAGAAGTCGTACGCCTGATGGTAAGCTACACGTCTGTCTCACAGTGGCAATGCCACTCTAGAGCTGAAAATCGCAAAGCTCTGAGGGGCACAGCCACTGCGCCCGTCACCCTGACACATAAGTTGACAAGTTTACTTTGGACCTTTTCAAGGCGAGTGTAGACATTTGGGTGTGCATGCTACATCGTCGCCCTCATCGTCACTTTCCACCAATTGAGATGAAAATTACGTTCGTCTGGCCTCATCCTAAATGTGCTTTCGATTCAACTGCCTCCATGGCCAAACGGTTACCATGCTGGACTGCCACGCAGAGGTCCTCGAAGCCGAGAGAAACATTGTACTGCGAGAACACACCTCTTTTAGCTTCTTCTTTTGTACGAATAAGTTGATAAGTCCCATGTGCCTGGAATTTCACCAGCACCCTTACCCTTAAAAACTGAAACACATTACTACTTAGCGGCAAAAATAGGTAAGGTGGCAATACTTCCCTCGACGAACTATTTCACAAGGACATCTACTGCATCTACTTACCTAACTTATCCATTTCTACCGCCAGCTGTAAAGTGACTATTACTACGTTTCGGTTTTTGAAGGGTCAAGGCGGGCGCTGGTAAAATTGCAGATATAAGGTACTTGTAAACTGCCTCTGTGGCCGAACGGTTATCATGCTGGACTGCCACGCAGAGGTCCCGGGTTCGACTCCCAGGCCGGAAGAAATATTTGTATGGTCTACATTTATTTCTCTCGTGAGTTTGGGTGTAATTTGTGGTTGTCTACTACGGTTTCCTTAATACGGGGCTATGAGTATGTGTTATTTATTATTACAGGTTGCGCTCGGTACAGAGAACTTTGCTACCGTGCAGCGCATGCCCATCTCCCAGAAGACACAGCGCCGCGTCCTTGCGACTGCGCAAATTGCTCCGCTCGACGCAACTCTACGACCGATCCATGAAATTTGTCGCCAGTTCGTCCCACCTACGTCATGACCCGACCCATCCCTGCCGTACCCTGTTTGTGGGCGCGACGAACTAACGATAACAATCATTAAAATGCTTGGATAGGATTCTTCCCGATGCAGATTTTATTGTTGTAATAAGAAAACACCCATGTTCTTTTAGTAACAATTTGTTAAAAGTGTAACGTGAAATGTAGTAGATATTCAAAACGAATCAATTGTTCCATGTCGGTAATAGGTCTCTTAGAACCTCATGACAAATGGGGCAAGTTTGAAATTGATATTAGCAAGATTGGCTTTACTATAATAGAAATACATACTATGCTATAATTTAATAGTAGGTCAATAGGTTACCCAGGGCTCCGAAATACAATGAAAATTGTTGGGTACTCTTTACAAATTTCGATAATATCGCACTGCTATTACAAGTGTTGTAACTCAAAATATATGAAATTCGAAATTATACTATTTCTGAACGTAAAATTTTATTCTCTACACGTCGATACAGCCGTCATTAGAATATTGTGAGACAAAAGATATCTTCTACTTAACTCAAAATGCAACAAACTTTTGTGAGCTAGTTCTAGACAAAACAATCCTTATTTAAAAAAATATGAAAATATTTTTCCATATATTTTTAAATATATTTCACAAGTAGGAAATTGCTTAATGTCTGTTAAAAAGGTTACTACCCTAAATTTTTTAAAGTTTAACATACATTTTAATAATCTTTCACGGGAAGTAATTCATTTTTCATCGATTCTGAAAAAATGCACTTTACACTATTGTATTACACAGTGCGATATGTCTACAAATCGTCGGTGTTTTGTAGAAAAGGCGTAAGCGAACTTTCGCAAACATTTTTCAGGGGAGCATGTTTTAGGTTTTAACGAGTTTTCTGAAAAAAATTTCGAAATGTCGCTCGCTCTTTCTACAAAACACCGACGAAATAAGCAAGTGTTCCATCGTAATTACCGCTCGAATTGGAGTCGTCAAATTGAGGTTAGCTAATTACATTTATTTTTGTTTTTATGTAACGTCATGAGATTCTTCTCTAACAGACCTCTGCTTCCGATTCTGTAACGGCGGAAGTTCTGCAAGCTTTTTCACATCTTGACGGTTTTATAGAATAGCGCCCTTTCTCAAAAACACCAAAATTTTCAGGAATAAGTGTAGATACTCCCGCAAAGAGAATCGTGTACGGCATTGACTTACAAATAAATGGACGACGGGTCTAATACACAAACCACGAAAAAAATGTCCCAAGTCAACCTATTTAAACGTAGTGACGTAAAGGAATATGAAAAAGCTAAAACGTTGAATTTAAATTGTAATGTCATCGCAGTACTGTCTAATTTTGCTTGCTTCGCTGTCAATCGAACAAACGAAGACTAAGCGTGAATGACGCTCTGTATACGATTTTAACGCCCTATAAGTTCGGACACTTTTTAGCGCGGACCCGACGTCCATATAATTGTAAGTCAATGTGTACCGGCCCAAAATTTATAGTCAAGTCTATTTTAACAAATGGAAATGTCTGTGTTTTTTCATAATAACATTTAGCACATTCTGAATACAGCTGTACAATAAAGCAAAAGTGAAATATTTTTGAGCCCTTATTCTTGAAAGTATTTGTTCCATATCTGCTGTTTGGAACTCTTTCACCGAGATCTTTATAGTATTTTCATCCCCGCTTCCGTTTCCACTAAGGTTTACTTGTGACATCGAGTACATAACCAGAAAAAGAGACGAAATAAGAGCCATCCATGCCTGGCAACTCGTCAGGCAAACGGGCCGCCGTATATAACTTTTAAATATCAATTCTAGTTTGCACTGAAATCATAAATTAGAAAGCTGAAATATTACAGCGCCAACAACTGACCTGTGTGTACGTCTCCGTATATTCCAAAAATATTCAGTATTTATTGTAATAAAGATAATATCTCTAACTATGGGGGCTGTTCCATTCGGTGATGTGGGAAAAACCACAAAACATCTAATTACAAAACAAACGGAATCACATTTCACAGGTAATCAAATATGTAATTTTTCAATTTTCATCCATTCTAGCAAAGCTCAAGTTAAACTGGACGATTTGAAGTAAAACAATTGACGACACTCGTCAATTATTTAGAATTCGGGTTGGCCAATCCAAGCGCAGTTGTCACCGTAATGATTTGGCAGAATAGTTTTCAAACAAATTAAATGACATTTCGTCTCTATTTCTGGTTATATACTCGATGATGACTTGTGACAAGACCATTTTTAAGGCAGGTGTGGGTGGAATAAAACTATAGGTATGTAGGTTCAGTTCAGGACCAAGAATAATTACTTTCATGTTACCTACAAACATTATTTATGTATATATAGATATATTATGACAAAATACAATCTCAAAATAATTGTTTTCACTGTCCCTTGAAGGGGTACTACTAAACCGTCAAAAAGTGCATTTTCTAATAATTTTCTGCTTTACTATCCTAGTGCCTTACAGAATAGTCCCTGAACCCCTTTTAGATATATGTAAAAATCAAATTTTGTCAATCATTTTTAGAATTTATAATGTATTTTGCACAAATTAGTATTTATTGTCACAATTTGGTGTATGCACATCCAAAATCGCTTTTGTAATTAAGGGGGTATCCGCATTTTTGCGTAGATATTGTTAATTTAAAAAATTCGATATCTGTCCATTACTAGCAACGTAAGACATGATTAAGAAGCTTTGATTGAATAAATAATGTGAAAAATAACTTGACACAAATTTATTTAGACGATTCTACATAAGAATTTTCCGTAACACTAATTTATATCAAGAACATGGTTATATTTATATAAAAATCTAAGCCAAATTACTTAGAAATAAATTTTAATATAGGTAACGTATAGGTGGCTAAATTATTATAACTATGGTCCAGGTATCGAACTGCTAAGCTAAAAATAATTCATGTGTGCTAATTACGTAAACTTCTTAATTTTAATGTCTAACTATTAATATTAGATATATATCTAGAGTAATTAAAATTGTCCGACCTAATTGTATTTACCTGTTCATCTGTTTAAACCATTAAGAAAATTATAATGTACATTAAATTCTATTTTATATTATATTACATCGTTATAAAGATTAATTTTAATTACATTATTACATAATTCTGATCTATTTTCCATTGTACTTATTCGATGTCATTAAATTTTAACGTACATTATTTAAATATATTAATTAACAAGGCCTACCTACTCGCGATATAAAATGTAATTTAAAAATGATTCAAAAATAAAGTAATATGTTTATTATAAAAAATATTTTTGCGTTTGTATTATTTCCAATCTAGAGTCAAGTAGTGTGGCGAGGAGTCAGGTGGGACACCTAGCCGGCCGAAATTTAAATAAAACTTATAGTATTCAGTACTTTTATTGAAGGAAACAAAAATACACGAGTCAAGAGAACAAAGTAATTGGGGAAAGATTCAAAAGGTATGCCAGCTCGGCAAATTTTAACGCGCATTCACGACAACGAAAACAATCATATTTAAAAAGGAATCCATGTAAAAATCCAGGTTCCATTCACCTGAATACCATATTTACATTGTAATATGAATTTCACCATAACTGCCTTTCACTACGACGAAACTGTTATATTAACATGATTTTCAGAAGGGAATTTACTTACTTCTCTACGCATAGTACTCGTTCGTTTACATGCAATTTAGACCTAAATTACTTCATAAAATCGGTTAAAATGTTTATACAAAATACATCCAAATCAATTTCGGTCAATCTAAATCTTATTTGTTAGGTTTAATAGGGAATAAGGTAGAGTAGTCGTTATAAATAATGACCATTGCGTTAAAAAAATATAAAATCGACATTTAGATTTCTCTATTGTATATCAGACCAGTAAGTTTTGGTTACGTAACTTCCAAACATATGTATAGTTTTTGCCTAATGTGATATTTGTTTGATACAACTGACAATTTCAGTTTAGTCAACGTTCACTGGTTAAAACCCAGTCCACACTACACAAACATGACCAAAAGAAAAACTAGCCTATAATCATTCGGATAAAGTTTATAATAAAACGTTTCGAGCAGTTCATTCGGATTAACTTTGTCAACAATGTTGCAATCCAATATTATGATATACCAGTATCATTCAGCCTCTAAACAGCTGTAAAGTTTGTTAAGAGTAAATGCTATCAAAAATATTTCGGAACAGATAAAATACGTTTTTTTATAGACTCTGTCCATAAAAACCATTTACAAACTTAATGATTGCGTTTGTAGAAAAAAAAGATATAATAATTATTATTATTTTACAAATGTTTAAAAGTCGACTAACGACGAAACGGCACCATACATACGGTGGGAATGTGTGTGACAAGAGCCGAGAATGCTCCACGAGAACAGCGAATCTTCAGTAACGAATAGTTGCTATGGAATATTCTTGGCTACCTTGCATGTTTATCATCACGTCATGAGACCGTGAATCCTAGGTTTTTCCACAACGCTCTATTAATTATGTCATAAAATGCATTGTCGATGGTATTGTACAAAAACGTCGTGGAATGTCCGAGTCGACGAATAAACGTTACCTAATCTAATCTACGTCCCAGATCGCGTAGGCCACAAGTGTGGGTCAGTCGTTAACGCCTGTAGGGGTGATACGACGAAGCGGATGCTGTGCCGCCCGAAGATGCGCCGTGGTAGCTCCGTTTTGATGACCGTTGGTAGCCATCGCCCGACCCACCAGTATATTCATAGTCGTCCCCTGCACAAAACGTTGCGTTGACATTGATTTCAAAGTAAATAATGAATCAGAGATATGTCTAATAAAGTATGGACTTTTCTTACAGCAAATATTCCTTTGACATGTATAAGATATTTCTGATTCATTTCGTATAAGCAGCAATAATCCAAAAGCAATTATTCACTTCCATGAAACGTTGAGCAACGTATGGTTATTAAGGGTCGTATTCTAGAACTCTATTCAATACTCAAGTCAGGATTGCACTGGCAACACAAGCACTGGAAATACGACACTAATGGCAGGGACTTGAGTATGATATCAAATGCTTTAAACCATACTCAAATCCTAACTTGAGCATTGAGTAGAGTTCTTGAATACGACCCTATGAGTCGATACTACCTCAGCTCGAATTAAAATGTTTCCCGTACTAATGCGGTTCATTTTGCTTGGGTCGAAACACTGGTTTAATTTCAGAATTTATTTTTTACCAATCAAAGCCACTTGAAAAATATACATCCTATAGTATGTATATGTTTCATGTTTCATTCCATTTCCTCAAGTTGATATAAAAAAATCATTGGTATAAACAAAGTAACTATTCAATACAGCGGTATTCTTGTAAAATTTCGGGGTAAGTATTGTGTTCTTTTCAATCGTGAACATTTTTAGGAATTGTGTTTTTGCACCGTATAGTAATCAGCGTAGTAGTAGCGTAGTAGCTCACTACTTTATATTTTACTATATATTTTTCCAAAGTGATAGATTCGACACTTTCACTGTTATGCGCAATCAACCAAAGCCATTTGAGGTAGTATAGACTTTAGGTCAAATGATACATTCGTAACACGGTTTTTTTATTACAACTAGAAAAGAAAATAAAAAACACTTACCGCACCACGCAACACCCTCCACTTTACCCGAGCATATTTAGAATATCAAAAGCTATTTACTTTTGTTCCAACTATACGATTAAAACACGACTACGAGCATTTACACAAACTAAATATTAAATATATTTATTGATGGCAATAATTTTAGGGAGTCACTACACTTATCGACACAGTATTTAGTAGCAGGAGAGCTCCTTGTGAAAGAGTTCATCCACAGAAGTACTGCCACCTTACCTATTTCTGCTGTCAAACGGTAATGTGAACATTACTGCGTCCCGGTTTTGAAGGGTAAGGGTGCTGGTGAAATTATAGGCACATGGGACTTTTCAAACCTATGTCTCAGTGTGATGGACGCAGAGGCAGTGTAGCTCAGATCTTTGCGATTTAAAGTCGAGTGGCACTGCAACTGTTGTAGACAGGCGTGTCGATTACCATCAGGCGCACGACTTATTCGTCCCATCACTTAGTTTCACAAAAAAATGGATTCGCATTAAGAAAATTTTGTACGTTTCGTGTCGGCTATCCGAACGGAAGCTAAACGTTTTCTAACCGACTCGAGGCGATTCCGTGTGAATAAATGTGATGAGTCCCTTAGTCTACACTATCAAGTTCATCCCGTAAGTGACAGCAAATGATATTCAGTCAATGTGTTTACACCTTAAGATAATTCCTACATCATTATTTCTATACGATATTTTCATGTCAACTATTTTATGCTAATTGTGGTACTGGTTTGATGTAATCTATTCGATTGACGCATCGTCTTTAGATGAAAACTAGGATATACTTTTGCATTTTAAACGTAACCAAAGTGCGATTTTTTAAGATTATGTACTTCCGAAACCGCTTTTAAAAGATCTGTCTACTTTGGAATTTTCATACCTATAGGATACTGTTTGGGGGCTCTATAATGATTATAGCGAAAGCAGTTGATGTCGAATTTCAGCACTCATGTATTCACGTTTACAATATTATAGGTATGAAAATAACCCTGTGTACGACGGTTGTAAATGCCCAAATACAGAACTACTCCAAGAATAAAATATAGAAACCTGAAGCGGACGCACTTATATCGGAAACATTGCAAAACGAAGGTTGTGGGGAGACCATACCTCCGCAGTACACCATTGGGACCTGTTATAACAAATTGTAGTACATAGTGTATCTAGATAGGAAATTAGTCTGCTTATGTGGATTATTTTGTAGTAAGATTTAGAACTCATCAAGTGTCTAGGGATCAAGCACGTTTGACCACACTTTTAATGCGTGTATTTTAAAATCGTTGACGATGTACAGCCACTTCATGTTCTTAGTTTAGTGTTATTAGCAAATATTGAATGAAGAATGTTTCTACTACAGAATCCGAAACAAACCCTGCCTTCCCACGTCCTCGTTATCGATCATCATACGGTTCACAATTTAAGATATATGGCGTATTTTTGCTCGCAAATCTTTCTAGCACGAGTTTTCTCGACCCCCGAAACTTGAGCCAATCTTATACAGTGTGTTGATTTGCAATCTCGCCATATTTAAGAAATTAATAATATAAATAATAGTAAATTATCTTAAAATATTAAAATAATATTCTGTTCAATATTCTGATTTGTATCTAATAAAGTTTTGCAAAATTGTCTTTAAAACGTATAGACCACAGATCCCGACGGAACCCCGAGTAGTTTATTAATTTTTTACAACAATTAGGGAAGTTGACTGAAAATGTTTGTTTAGTTTTTGTAATTTAGATTTGGTACTTACCAATTTTAGGTTAAAACCTTCACTCGCTATGCAAATATTCGCACGTTGTCAAGAATTTCGTTTAAATTTTCTGAATAGTAGTTTGAAAGCTGACTAAAGGTGACTTCACAAGTTTGAAAGCGGAAACAGTTTTTGGGCGAAATTATTCGGCACGTGTAATCTTCTCCGTGTAAACTAAACGTTTCACATCACTCTTGTCACGCACTTGGCATCCATAGTGAGAAGAAGCACTTGATGGTAATACAGTTCTTGTGAACAGAAAAATCTCTTGTAAAAAAACACAACAAACCAGGTGCGCATTTTACGATAGACTAGATAGAATTGATCAATTATTGATTGCGGTTATCCCTATGTATGAGCGAGCGCACAGCGCGCTGCGTTTGAGAAAAAGATAGCAACACTGGCTTCTCTTTTCGGTCCGCTGTTTGGTAGCACGTGCCGTGCAAAAGTTAATGACCTTTGGATCAGTTGATTGCGTATCGATGTTTACCGCAATTCAATAAAATAAAGGATTTTTCTTCTTTTTTTTCAGTGATTTGGATTCAATTTCGGATATAGAAAGAATAACCTCTGTAAATATGGCGAGAATGCAAATCAACACATTGTATGTATATATCTGCATTATCAACAGTGGTCGTAATTGGCTGTTCCAAATGAGTAAATGTCTACGTATAAACACAAGGAGCGACACGTACAGTGGTTTAAATATCCAAATAGTAAATAATTACTTTTTTAATTCCATATTTCGGAAAATAGTTTTACTGCATCGTAGGATAAAACTACACGCCTAGGAAACTAAATTTGTATTTTAAAGACATTACAAGGGCGTCATGTAAAAAAAAATTTAGTAGGTAGATAACGTAAACAATTTTTATGATTTACAAGCAATAAACTTAAGCGGATTTATAGATCCTTTTATATTCACCTAAAAGATACAGCCCCGATCTTTCTACATTAGTTTGATTATAGTGACCCTCCTTACAGACCTTAAGGGTATACGAGAAGGGCATTATAACCTGTGAGCGCACAGGAACCTTATAAGTTCAAGTTCTGACCGCAGATCAGTCATTTGACCTCTGTCACTTGACTTCATCCAGTTCTCGAGAGGCTAGGCGCACTTACAGTATCCTCCCTATTTTCCAGATAGGTACCGGAGCAGTAGGCACGCTCACTTCCCGTTGCGCATTTTACAGTAGCGGTTGCCACCGCTAAGCCGTCGACTCCGGAGTCCACTACCAAATCTCCTCATTGGTGGGGGAGCTGTAAGGCACGCTCACTTCCGACGCCGAAAAACGACGTCTCTCCAGTTCTTAATAACCTAAACGGCTGGAGGGACCGGAAGATATCTAGCTTATCCCCTACTAGCTCTAAGGGCTAGTGCCGGAGATGCCAGTCGCAGCGTCCTGCGTCAATGTCCGGACATAGCTTCCAACCTAAAGGGCAACTCACGTGTATCGCGCGGCTCCTCGCTTCAGGCCCTCAACTAGACCGCTACAAAGACACGCTAGCTACACACACACGAGACATACGCCCCGGCCACAAGCTCGTCTCTGCAGCTCACCACAAACCCCAGCGAGTCCATACCCAGGTCCGGGACCACCATAGACACCTGTGAATGCGTATCACTGGCAAAGGGTTTAGTCCGGACGCCCGCCATAGTCTCTCTGGAAAACCCTATCTCTCGGGTCGGTAGATAGGGACACCCATAAGATACAGTCCCATATCTTTCTGCATATGTTTACTTTATAGTGCCCCTCCCCATCAACCTCTTGGTTATGCGGGAAGGGCACTACGACCTGTGCGAGCGAACCCGCACAGAGATCATCTAAGTCTGGTCCTAACCCCGGATCAGCCCGTTTGCACGGATTTCATCAGGTTCTCTGTCAACTTAAGTCGGCGGTTCAGCGTTGGCAACCAATATGATAGTCAACCGCAGGCCATACCGCGAGAGACGCTAAGTTAGCTTTAGCTCACGTAGCCGCGGCATGTTTCCATAGATCTGTTCACTACGCTAACCGAACTAAGGTAGCATAGATAGTTGCATGCACTACGGGAGCTAAGCTAGCTTAGCTTCACTGCCAGTGCTTAAAGTTATTAACGGAAACCCGAAAGTCGAAAAAAGTTACTAATATTTGGTTGTTTTAACTACTCTATGTCATTCTTTGCATCTTATATGTGGACATTCATCTGCACATTTGGAACACCGTATTCCAACCACTGATTATCGAACCAACTAAATTTCAGTAACCTTATCGTAAAATATTTAAAAACCTGTGGTGGCGTGCCGATATTGTCTGTCATCTGTGGAACAGCCACGAACTTAGGACTGCCTGCATTACTGCCCACTCCGTCACCCTCTAAATTACAATTAACGATTAATTCATTACACAGGATTATTTTTAAGATAATAACCTAACATGACGTTCCCATCATTAAAACGAATAACTTTTTTTTTATTTCAAAAATGTACACTACGCACTAAATTCGGGTTAACAAATAGTATTTTTGTAGAATGGCGAATTCTACGAAAAAATATAACGTACATTTACAGATATCTAACATTGAAGGCCGGTTGAAGGATTCGGGGTCTCCTCTGCGTGAAGCGGAATCGGCGTGCGGCTTATCTCACGATAGGCTGGTTATTTAAACAAATCTAAAGCTAGTTCCAGTTCAAATTGATAACACCAGCGCGCGAAGTATTTATGGATTCTCTTAATGCAGCGGATGCCGTAAGAGAGAAATATGATAAATATGTAGAATAGATAAAATAAATAAGCAATACTTTACCAAAAATTGTTGTGTTAGTATGTGCAAGAATATTATGTACAGTGAGGATGTAGTATAATAAGGAAAACGCGGGTTGTCTAGTTATTTTTAACCGATGGTTTAGTGCTGTAAGACTAATATAAGACGATTCACGTATAACTTTATGCCACCATATAAAAACAAAAATTATGATCGACGTTCTATCTCTAAGGGAACGGGGATGGATGAAATATTAAAAATGCCAGTAATATTTTGAAATTTTTGATTTCTTTTAATTATCTACGTTTTATAATGTCCTTAAAGTAGATATATATTTCATCATAAGATATCTCGAATATTTGCAGTGGTAATATTAATATTTTAATTAATCAACCAGTAGTATTACTTAATCCATTAAGATAGAAGAAGCTTAATAATAGGAAACTACGACAAAACTGTTTATTTTTTCCATTACATTACAAACTACATACTTATGTTACCAGTTAAAACTAACACTAATATATACCCAAAATACCTAATATGAATAATGCATAATTTCTACTTCAAAAGACCTCAAGTGTTATATGTGATAGCACTTAGTTATTACATCAAATACTTTATCGCGTACAAACTTTTTCGTCTTATTTTAGTGCTTCGGTTAAAATTAATAATTAAAACCGTAATTAACTAATTATCATTAGGTATCTCCGTAAAAAAAGAATCAACAAGGACGCACGTGTTAAGTCTATCATAATTTTCCTTTTCATATAACGAACATAAAGTAAGACTTATCTAGGCAGCGCCGGCGCGGGCTCGAGCGCGGCCGCGGCGCCGCGCCCGCGTCGCCTTTAGGCTTCACGCAATATGCACTCGTTAGGGCTAAGTATAATAGTTTACATATTATAAGATTATAACAAATCTAGATAATAGTCTTACAATCATAACATGCTTAGTTTGTGGCTCGGTCGCGGTCGCGGTCACCGCTTCCAAATAATTACATTTTAGGAAATTAATACAAGTCTGTATAAATACAGCGCCCCGTAGGGGGTGTAGTAAAGTAAACTTATATACTGCCGTAAGTAAACATTACTTTATAAATATTGTACATCAGTCGATAGTTCACCTAATTTTGTAATCTAATCAATCGAGAATTATGTACTTTAAATCCACTACAAAGAAAAAAAATAGTTTAAAAAATAATCAACATCAAAATTTTAATTAAAACAGAAATAAATAACAACTTGTCCTAAGTTTTATAATAATTAATGTTATAATTAACTGTAAAGCCCGTGCAATTTATTTTACGATAAAATGGGATCAATAATTACTTATTATTAAATTCTAATATAAATATGAGGTTTTTTTATTAATAATACCTGCATTGATTTTAAAATAAGTTTCGAAAAAACTACAGTAATATCGACTTTTGGGCGCCGACGGTAAATGCAAATGAACTGATTCAAAGGACGAGTAGAAAACAAACTTAAAAAGAGTATCCGGCTAGTCTAAATTTAACACTAAGGTGCTTGTATAATTAGTCAATTACGATCATTAATATGTCAGCACGCCACGTGACCGTGCTATGTGCGGCTAGGTTTATTTATCCAATACCAAAATACACTTTTACACAAACATGTTTCCTTTATATACTACTTGAATAAACATACACATATAAAAACCGCGTACACTATAATATAAAGTAATACAAACAAGAGTCGAAAGGTTAACTACACAACAGTACTACAGTTAAGCCATGATTAAAATATTATTCCATAAACATTATTATTACGATACAGTAAATATTCTTACGTCAATATTACTCAGTGTAATATTAAAATGCAGAGGATGCATGTGTCGTGTCACTCACGGTTTGTTTATATTCTGTTCTACGGTTGGGAGAAGACGTTTGTGAAATTAATATACGATCATGTGATAGTTTTATAATAAAGGGGGTAGGTCCGTGAGTGGGTACGGGAAGGGGAAGCCGCGACAGAGGCGGGGTGAGCGCCCCCTGCTCCCGTGAATAGTACATTTGACAGACGAGCCTCTAACGAGTCTTACCGTATTTGTATTTCGCTAACTATTTTTAATTAATAAATTCATCGAATATTTTATGCTCTTCTCCTATATAATAATAATTAAAAACCCATATAAATAGTCTCAATTGATTTTCACAATAATTTGCACTAAGTTTAATGTTTCAGTAAATCTAAAATTTCTAATACATATTATACTTTATTTAAATAAATTATACTCTTTATGTTAATTAGAAGATTGCCACGTTGGTTCATTACAAACTAAGTTCTTAAATTGTTCCGAAGGTTTGTGAGTGGGGACATGCCCATTATCTAACACCTTAGTGCTAATCGATATCACTGAAAATAATATAATATAAATCATCTCTATTTACTTAACTTTTTTGTAAGGCATCGTTTCCTAATATTAAACAGACGTGAACAATTTCTCTTATCGGTGGATGTACATTAACTTACAGTAAGTAATTATAACCGAAGTGATGAGCCAAAATGCGAACCGAACATCGCAGAGCAACGCGCGAATTATACATACAAGGTGACACGGGTTAGTCAAGAGTGAAAAATGTGTATTAAAGCGAGATGAGCGTACGACCGAAACGAACTTATCTGAGAGTATATTTACCGAGGAATGAATACGACAAATTAACCTAACTAACATAGGAACAGAGTAAACGAAGCCGTAAGAAGCACAACTTTACGTAACCTAGTGGGCAGTTAGGCACCGAAGTCATTTAGTTAACATTATTACTTCAATATATTGCTATTAAGGTACGAGTTTCAAATCCTACTTACTGATCGTGTCTCAGTCGAGTGTTAGAGCTATAACACTTGCGCGTCCACTTTGAACATCACAAGCAAGGCTTTACTATGTTTTACCGTAATTTGGGACTGCGCACCCATCGCACCCGGACCGCGTCACTTATAATTTGCTTATACAACTCACGATATTCTTCAATAGATAAATTATTCTTTACTTATGGAGCGATCTTAAATAACCCTATTCTAAACGATCAAATTATGCATTCAATGTCATCAACAATTTGTCTATTAAAAACATTTATAACAAATCTTACCGAGCGACGCGGCGCGCGCGCACTGCGTCGCGGCCGCGGATCTATGTATTTAAAATTAAAGGAACAACCCCGGCGCGAGCGGGCAGTCTATCAGTAGTAGTAAACTCTAAGATAATTACAACAAATAATGCTCTGCGCGGCACCGCCGTCGCGCGCTCTCCAGCGCCCCACTAATTACTTAGCTTATTACTAAAATTTTAATCAGTCGATCGGTCAAATGATTGAACGATATAGTACAGTAAAGGACTAACATTAAATTTAATCTAACAATGTTATTTTAAATTATAACTCACTTTGTAACGGAGCGCGGCGGGCGGGCGCCGGCGGCCGCGTCGGGTCCATATTATGATACGACTAACATACGGGCCGTTAGCGGCCGTCGAAAGCTCTATACAGTTTTTAAAAATATTTGGCAATCACATAAATTAAAACTTTATAACTATGTGACGAGAGAATTGATTAAAATTATGCTTTACACACAAGTATATATATGTATGTACATGTGTCCGCGCGAAGGGTGCGCCAGTCGGCCGCGGGGCACGGGGCCAGCGGCTCTGAGACCGACATCTATATCCTAAATGCTTGAGCTTCCTCTTAACATATACCATATCGTTTGCTCGTTAACAATTTGGCAGGTAAATTTAATTCATTAAAGTATAAATTCCATATCAACTTAAACTGCGATAAAAAAACTAAAATGCATATTAGAAAACAAATTAAAATTACGATATTTATACAGAATTGTTCCCCTTTTAAAAACGGGATAAAAAAAATTAAAATTTTAAAATCACGTTCAGTCATACTATGTATTGTTAAATATTAACACATAATTATATTTCATTACATCCCTACCGTTTTCCTAAGTCTAGTGGGTGGTAAATAACCAAAATTCTAATATTAATCATACATACCGATATATATACCAAATATTTATACAAGTTATTAGCTTAAGTTAAGTTGTTTAGGTCATCTTCCCTAAATTGGCCTTGTTTAACAGTGTCTGTCAAATGTACGTCACGCGCGCAGGCGGGCCGCCTCCGCCCGGCGGGACAACGCTTGCTCGCAACATCACCACTATACGAATAGTGAGATCCCATCCAACGATATCAATATTTACTTTTTATTAAAAGAAATCATTTTAAAAACTCACAAAATAAATGGACAATCTGAAAAAAGAAATAATAACCTCTACGAAAAAGCCCACATCCAAAAAAAGATTATTAAAAGCAAAGTAAAAAAGTGTACAAGCGTACACATAAACTCGGCGTCCTTCAGCTTTGACAGGGGTCGCGAAAACTTCAGGGGAAGTGATATATGAAGATAAAAAGGGATGCGCCTCGAGCGAGTGTGTTAAGACGCACCTTCAAAGTTGAAAGAGACTTTATATCATTATAGCGTTCAGAGACAGCTAATTGTCAATCGCACGTTCCAAGGGAAACGGAGCAATGCTTATCGAGTTAGTAGACAAGCTCAAGAATGTAACACCTAAAGCCTGATTAAAAACTATTTTATAATTTTAAGAATTAAAATTAACGTCCTTAATTACGCGTGTGGGTTTGTGTTAATGCAGTTGCAATAAATGTATTTAAAAATATTTAAGTTTTTGAAAATTGCATGCATTTTTCTATGATAATATTCAAACTTTTATAAAGTCGATTAACTTGCATTGTTAAATTTTACATACCGTCGTATTTCATTTTATTTATTTATTTCGTCAACATTGAAATATTGACGCTTTGTAACGGCTAAGTTCCTAGTAGAATAGCGACAAGATAGGTACGTTTGCTTGTTACAGGGGGAAACTAAGTCAGAGTTCTGTCAACATCCTTTCGCATCCCTACTCTCGTGTTCACATTAACAATGCGCCAAGTTCGATTTGTGTAGTCGATTTGTTCGTGTTGGGCCTGCTGGCCGTTCGACTGCGCGCCCTCTCCCTTGCATAATAATATGTTATACAAGTGTAATTATTGCTATGCGCGATATAGGTGTCGCCAAGCGAGGCTTTCCATCAAAAGCACTGTCAGAAATGCGACGCTAGTTTCTCCACGAGACGTACTGAATATCAAGTAAAGCCCGCATTGCAAACGTTCGCAAAATTCCAGTCGCCGAAGAGGTTAGTGAGAGACATCGAACTGAATCCAAGTAAGAGCGGAGCGGAGAAGACGCGCGGCCTTAGGGCGGCACGAAGTGGGCGAGTGGGGGCGAGTGGGCGTTGGGATGAGCGGTGAGCGGGTGAGTGGCGGGTGAGTGGCGGCGCTTAGGCGGCGGGCCACTCCTTGTTAAAGTCGTTGGCGGCGAAGTGTTTGGGCGCGTGGTGCGGATGCGCGTGCACACCTGGAGGCTGCGCGGCGGGCGCGGCGGGCGCGCCGCCCGACCCGTGGTACTCGCTGCCGCCGTACGCGCGAGACCCGCCGCCGCCGTACGACGAGCCCTAGCCAGCCCGCACACGTTACCATACACCGATCGCAGGACCCACTAACACTAAATACGATACCTAGACGTCACACTGCGACCGCCGGTCGCACCGCGCCCGTACACTCACGACGCTTCTACTACACGCAGTTCTCGTGCGATACTGTGCCGCGGGTCACGGAAGACGATGCCGGGTAACCATGACGATTAGCGTGCCGGAAAAGGAGCGACTACACTCGAACAGTACATCTATGGAGAGGGGTCTACGGCTAAAAGCGTCAGCAAGTATGAAAAATAAACTCCGGCCGTCATCGCCTAGTTACCAGGCGCGCGTTTAAGTCGAATTCGCGCTAGATGGTACAGTGATTATTCACGTGACTGTCGACTGCAACGTCGGCCGAGTGTCACGTCTAAGTAATTATTTAGTCTTATGCCCACACCCGGCGGGTGCCGGTCTAGAGGACGCATGGAGCTGAAGCCTCTGACGTCTATTACTAATGGGAGTCGGTGCTTTGAAAGATTTCAAAATTGGAGTACAAAAATAGAAATTTCTAGAACCTAAACAAAACAGAGGCTTCGGCTTCGGCGTGTCCGTTGCCGTCATGGAGGATCGAAATGAGGTCTTGCGTAAATTGTCCAATAAAATATTTATTAATTTCCAAACATGATTAGATAGTCAATGTCTACGCTCAGCGATGCCTCCATGATGTTTTGACACAATAATCTTGTAAATATTGTTCTCTCATTACATTTAACAGAATAATCGAATTTTATCTCTGAACACTTAAAGTACAGCTCTTAATATTATTTTTATCGATAAAATTAACTATTAATGAACCTGTAACAATATGAGAAAATCCGAATTTTACTAATTTGTACTTTAAATGCCAATTTACAAGTGTTGAGATGAGACAAGTTGGTTGAATCATCTCGCACGGCTACAAATGCAATATGAATATCGAATGTAACTAGTAAGCTTATATCTAGAGCGGTGCGATGCCTTATTGATGAGCGCGCTATCGTCGCGTTAATCGAACCGTCCATAGTGAGAAATCCCCAGAGTTTCGCGACAGACCCTCACCCGAACCCGCCCTTATCTCTAATTGTCTTTCGGGAGGAGCCACTCTTGTGGGCCCTGATCGACCAACTGGAAAAGAAGAAGTACACGACATAAAGTCCCACTCGCCAAAGTCGGATCTAGCAGTATGGTATTTAGGTAAGTAGCACAGAGCGTGAAGATGGACCAAGCGTGTGATACCCCGGGAGAGATGAATCGAGCGGAGGGGGTGGGAAAGCGGGAGAAGGATTAAAGGAAAGGGGAGGGCGGTGATGAGAGACCTTCAGCGAAACTTGAATCACTAATCTTCTTGATTTTTCACTATGGATAGCGGTGCGATCGACGGCAAGGGAGGACGTCAATATCGCTCGATACGATAGAGACCGCAGCATAGCTCGTAAAATCAAAAAGACATCGCACATTTACTCTCGACACTGAAAACATGCAGAGAAGTGGATGTCATTATCTCCGCGTAAGATATGAACAAACAAGCATTGTATTGGAACACAGCACACAGATGCAGGGGAGGCAAACTAATGGCTCTAAATATATTCATGCTGCTCTTCGGTCGGTACATTGTATGTTTGCATTCGGAGACGCGATATTTCGCTGAATTTCACTCACTCACCAAACGTGACACCATTCGAACTTTCATCCAATTATCGCAAACAACCAGATGGCAAGTACAACCAAATTGAGCTACGAGGAAAACCAACAAATTCACACGATCTTTCTTCACTCGACATTTTCACACTTTAGAAATCGAAGGTATAATAATATATTCACGAGCCAATCATGCGCTCATACATACCAGAAACACGCCAAACAAATGAAGGAAGATGCGGGACGAAATGAAAGATAAAAGCGTAAGGGTGAAACGGGACAAGGTAAGGAAGCAAGCCCCAAAGGAAACAGCAAAATAACACAAGGAATCAACTTGGCTGTACTTTTGCAAAATACACATTACGCACATAACATAGGTTGGTATGAGCGCTAAAAGCTATGCCCTGGAGAATATTTGCAAAACAAAAGTCAATTAAAAAAATCGTCACAAATCATCCAAGACATAGTAATAGATTGTTTGAGATTTAATGGAATATTGAAAGGAAAACAATTTCATAATTTTGATAGGACTTTTTAAAGTTACTGAAAGAGTAATTTGAAAAATATTATATTTCGATTCAACATTCAAATGATCACACAAAACGAACGAAATGTTAATAGAACTTATTAACATTTGTCCGCCATTACGAAAATGCAGCATTACAATTCTCACGCATCGAACCCGTGACAGAGTGTTTCAATTATACATTTGCAATTATAATGTCTTTACGTTTTTAAGTCTAAAGTTTGAAGCGCACAAGAGACTATAAAATTTATATTATTAAAATACGAACTGTAAATGATGTTCAATGAGGTCTGGAATTGATGAAGCATGTGATTATTTTTTGTACTGTGACTTAAACGGTGTGAGAACCAAAAGGTTAAAAAAACGCGTGGGCTGACGTAATACTCGTGAGCCACTATGACGGGCAATGGAATTCTATTAAAGGATAAATGTATCAGTATTTTTGAACAAGACTGAACAGTGAAGTCAATGCACTTGGAACAATGTTTAACTGAAACACGTACTGCGAGGTCATAGAAAGTAGCTTTCAAAAAGCAAGCACGAATGAGAAAAATACATTTCTTAGGACCAAAATCGTATCACAATACGAATGATCGAAATGTATTTTTGCATAAAATGGTAATGTAGGTATGCAAAAAAAAAACCGACACCAGATAGCACATGCTAGGTAGAGGACATATCTATGAACATCCGAAATTACTTAAAACAAATTTTTGGCATTGAGTACGCAAACTCGAGTCCATTCTGGTTTGTAACCGAGCAATGAATAGTACGAATGATATTCATCAAATGTTCAGAAACATGATTATAATAACAGTAAAATGCTAAGAACCGTTCGCGTGGACGATTTTGGGAAGTCATTCAACTCTTTATACAGCTATTCGTCGACGCGAGGTATCTTAACGTTCAATATGTAGTGACTTTTGCTCCATGTTTATTAACTACTGGTACAGCTTAGCAAATTGATTGAGAAACATGTGTGGCTAATTCAACCGTAAGGCGAGATTTAGAATTTTATTATGACTATGGTGAAAATGTCACTGGTTATGCCGTTATTAATTTGTGGAATCTAACCTTGTCTTAATAGCGTATTGTGACCGCAACACGTTTTTATGGCATGAATTAATTTACCATACGTATTGTTTCGACATTGACAAAAGTTGTTGTTAATTAAACTTTTATTTGAAAACTCGTCTATTAGTAGGGCAAGTAGCCACCGTGTTTGTTTATCGGCATTGACGATAGAGTTTAAAATCGGTCAAAATAATAAATAAATTAGCATTTGTAATAAGTTCTGTTATGGGTTCTCTATTGTCAATGTCATACAATATAACATATTATAAGAGAGTATAAGTGTGCACTTGCCCTTCAATGTCGCTATGTTAACATTCAAGAGGAAGTTCTACTTTGTTATAAATTAATATGTATAAAGCGCGTTTTAGAATGCGCATCTTAACACTCGATTCATAGATTGTCACTTTATGTTCAAGAGTTGGAAAGTTACGTAATATTTAAAGGTTTGTGTTCAAATGTTATTTATTATTTGTTTATTTAAATTTTAACTATCTCAAGCTTTTTGCAGATGCGTTTTCTAATGAGGTATGATATGCAATGGGAAAAATATATCAAGCAGTCAAGCTTATGTTAAATTAACATTGAATCAGAATTGACGAATCCGCAATATTACGAGATTTGTCTACGTCGGTAAATTTGCTTCGATAAGTTATTTCAATATCTGTATAAATTTTCAATGCTGACTCAGTTAGTCGCGTTTGTAAAGGTGAAAAAGTGAATGAAGACAACAGCGATCGTCATCATTAGACATTAATCTCAAATTGAGGGGGTAAATGGTGAAAGTTCTACATTAAACTACTGTTGTCTTACACAGTCCACAGGGTATGTATATCGAAATTTGCAAAGCGGTAGTACAAGTCGCGGCAAATATCCCGATCGCAGTAACAAAATAGCGCTGCACCTGTGGTCGAGATATTTACGAGGCGACGCGAACTTGGGTGTGGGCGTGCTGCGACTAGCACGGGCGACCTACCTGGTCCTGCTGGTAGGCGGGCGGGTACTGCTGGTAGTTGGAGTAGTCCGCGGAGGAGGACTTGGAGAGCGCGGCGGACGAGAGAGCGCCGCCCAGGTTGGGCGCGCCGCCGCCTCCGCCGCCCGCGCCGCGCCCGTACATCTCGCCGCCCTCCGACAGCGGCACGTACGAGCCTGCGCACACACTCCCGTCACGTGATGCTTCAACGCAGCGCTAGTCGGCCTGAGCGACGCCTTCAAAGCTCGTAATGTTAGCAATTTTGTAATCGACAGTACTATACAACCTAGTTTGCCCGAACGTCATCGACGATTACGTGTTCTAAATTCCTAAACCTTGGTATTGGAGCCGTATGTGCTCGTTTAAAATCTACCTATACGACTTTCCTAAATGCGTTACTCTCACACCACAATTGTTTATAATTATGGAATTGTTACAAGTGGCGGTGGCGAGTAGTTAAGCAGCAAAAAATACTAACCGGAGCCAGTAGAGTTCGAGTTCTGCGGCATGTTCCAGTTGGTCCAGCTGCCGCCGGCCGACGCGCCCGCTGGCGCCGAGCTGTAGTTGGCTGCAATGCACAATACCATGACGCTAACACCTATTTCACTCAAAAACTATCTTGTGAAACGTGTCACGTGTCACGTTTTGTAGTTTTGTGAGAGTCGCAATTGGACTAATGCATTACAGTTGTATATCTACAGTCGTCGGCCGATATCGAATGTAATTTAGATGTAACGTTCCACGAACGGCGGGTTTGGCTTGTGCCCTAAATTTTCTACTGGTCTTGTATTTTGTGGTTTACGTGAACTTGAGTTTTTAACGATTGTACTGCTTCGATGTATCTTTTGCCCTACCCAAATGTGACGAGGTGTTAAGAAAAAAAGCATGTGATTGTCGTGTGGGAGCGGCGTCATCCCGTTGCATCTATTAGATGAAAGGGGAATGCCGCGGCGAGTGGCGCGCGAGATAGTTACCGTAGCTGGAGTATCCCTGCGCGGGCGGCTGCGTGTGCTGCGCGTAGTTGTTGGTCGCGGGCCAGGCGGGCGCGTGCGGCGGCGCCTGCGGCGCGGGCGGCGCGCCCCAGCCCTGGTAGTTGCCGGGGCCCGCGCCCGCGCCCGCCGCGCCGTACCCCGCGTACGACGTCTGCCCGGGAGACGTGCCCCAGCCCTGGTACCTGCAGCGGCATCAAACGTTACTCACCGTCCCGGACATATTTATCCCGTCATCTTCAAACTACTATAAGAAACACATGTGTCGTAGAGGCTGTAGTTATCTTTTGGTTTTTTGATTTCTCCCTTGCTTGTACTGTTCCGTGCATCATACACATTTCTCTTGAAACCCTTGAAATAATATTTACATCAGAAATCCTATCCTATAGTTAGAAACGACCACGAAACTCACCCTTGCATGATATTAGGCCCAGCCATAGGCATGTTGATAGGAGGGCCCCCCATCTGGCCATTGTGGCCTTGCATGATATTGATGGCAGGTGCCGGGGGACCCCACTGACCGGCCGCGGGTTGGTCGCCGGGTGCGTTCATCCCGCCGCCGCCCATGCCGCCGCCGCCGGTGCCCATCTTACCGGAACCGTCTCGGGGCTCAGCACGCTTGATCTCCACCTGTTAGTTTTTAATGTTGCATTTCTTGGCGAGTCCATGGCTATGCTTGAACTATATACTATTGCGTTGTCGTTTGTACTAATATTTAATTCAATTACAACTTTCTATGTTTCCTTTTTACATAGCACATATTTTAAACAGACGACACCTCCACACTCGTTTCTCGTTTTCTTTCGTCCTGTCGGATGCGACATGTGTTAGCACATTTGCAGCTGCTCGCAAGAAACGAGACAAATATCGAGATTTGGAAAGTCGCTACATTGTCGTACCGCTTCCTGTTGAGACGGCGGGTTGTAGGGGTAGCGATGCGAAAAAGTTTGTTGCGGAAATCGGGCAACGGCTAAAAGAGAGTGGAGGTGACTCCCGCGCCGGGTTGACCAACCCGTTGGTGTAAAGATTGTCCATTGCCATACAGCAAGGATCAGTCAGGGGCGAGCTTTTTGACGAGTGTGGCAGATGGCACTGAACCATGTAATTTGTAATTTCTTAATGTTATTTACGACTATCGGTGTATTTTGTATCTCTTTGATAATTTCAATAAAAACAATTATTTAAATCAGAGAAAGAAAATAACTCGTTTTTAAGATTGTTCACTAGCACGCCGCAAGTGAAAAAAAAAAAAAAAGTAAAAATTTACGGTATAATTGCCCTAATAAAAGGCAACTGTAGCGAATCTTGTAGACTCCACAGTCCAAAGGCACAGAGAGTATATGCTGATAAGCGTCGATGTCCCACAAACATCTGAACGTACCAACAGCAGGAAAGCTGAGGGCACTGCCTGGATGTGGATTATTCAGAAACTACTCGGGATTGTGGCTGAAAAGCAGTGAACTGCACATGAATTTTATTTATGGATAGTTACTTGGTACTTCGTGTAACGGGCTGGTGTCCGCAACTCGACGTCAAGGCGATATTTAGTTCCAATAACAAGCGCTGACGCAAATAAGTGTTCAATTCGTGGTTGATTTTGCTTTCTGTACATTTTGAAACTTTAGTTGAAAAGTTTTTTAATTTCTTAAAGTTTAACTTAATCAATGTTAAACTGTTACAATTTTTAAATTTTTGGCTGTTTCCACTGTATCCGCTGCTCCGTGGCAGAACAGTTACCAGGTTGGGCTGCCACACAGAGGTCCTGGGTTCGATTTCCAGGCCGGGAGAAATATGTGTATGACCTACATTTATTTCTCTTGTGAGTTTGGGTATTGTTTGCGGTTGTCTATGTGTGTGTCTATGGTACCCGCGATAAAGGGTTTCTCTAGTTATTTTTATCTTTTTTTTAAATAAAAGTTGAGGATGGCTGTACCGAATCAATGTTAAAAGATGTTGATTGAATTACTACTTTATGCGTAATTCTTACATATATATAAAAAAATAATACTATTTTATATTCTCACTTATTTGTCCGCTAAATGTACCGGTACTTATGTGTATAACACGTAGTCTTTTTTACAGAATTCGCCACAAGCTGCGTATGTAGTAGTACGAGTATTACAGAACTTTCATTTCCTCAATTCTTCTTAACCCCTTATAAAATACTCTTATATTATATCAATATCAGTGTTAATTAATAAGGTTTAGAAAAAAGGTTAAACATACACATACCTGCTTGCCATTGAGGTTGATGAAGTGCTCTTGGGTGACTCTTTCCACGGAGATCTCATCTTCGAAGGACAGGAAGCCGAAACCTAAGGGAATATAATATGATTTTAACTATGCGAGTTTAATCAACTGTTCAATCATAAGAATGATGTTCTAAATTGAATTGTTGGAATACAGTCCTTTTTAAGTAAAATGACATTGCCAGTTCTCATACAATTTTAAATAGTCATGTAGTTATTGTCGACAGTTTTGTCGATAGATTGTAAAAGGAAAAATTGCAAAAATGTCTGAATTGCGAATGTTACGAAGTCCTAATAATTACTAATACGTCGCCTTACTTTCTCAAGCTCATATCTTAAAGCACAAAGTTACTGAAACGGCAAGAAATGGATTGTATATACAAATTTTGCAGGCAGATTTCACATCACATTTCCTTCATATTCACAAACTGGCTTTTACCTAAGTAATGGATCCAAATCCCTTGATATGAAATTTAAAATAAATATAAAGTTTTGCCATCTCCTGTATAATCACTCTTTATAAGATACGCGTTTGAGAGAGTAAGGCATCGAATTGCGTTATTGCCTTCTTGATTCTTGTTTTGTCCGATAGCTTACAGGTATCGAATTTTTTTTTTCATATGCATTTTAGTAAAACCAGGCGGATTTGATTATCTACATTGAATTAAAATGGAAAACTTTAATATTATGTTTCCCTTTGTATTATTAATAGAATACAAAAGATGACAATTCAAATGAACCTGTGCCCCGCAGTTGGATGAATAATGGGCCAACAGGATTCAAACGAAACAACAGTGATTCAAATGGAACAGTGATTGAAATGAAACAAATTTCACTATTTATTTCATAAGCGTAACCAACATAATGCCGTTATACTGGTAAAAACAATTATTTCACAAAATATAGACTGAAAGAAATGCAATTAAAAATTCACTATGCCAAAAATTGTTTTATTTTCACAAATGTCATCCCACGTTAATTCGTAACGGATGATTCCACATTTTATGTTTTACTCAAATTTGAAAATGTTCGCATTTTACAGCAATTTTGACGCGTTATCCTAAATTAAGTCATTTTGTGTGTAAATTCCAGATAATTGGTTTTCACAGTATAGCGACGATAAGTCGATATAATATTTATCGATTGCAATCTCTAGTTGCTTGCAAGCGGGCAACACTTTTGCTCAACGAACTGTCATTTTACTCAACCTTCAAAAAAGACTATAGACAAATTACATTCATACAATCAATCCAGTTTTCAAGGCGAGAATCGAATAGGCGTCATTTAGATGTCCATTGCTCTAACGTCATCGTCTAAGTTAGTTACAATTTTGTCTTTTCTTCAATTTCCTTTGTTCAATGCCATATAAGTATATTTTACTCATATTAATGACCATTATAAATATAAAATTATATTATCAAATTGTAAATAAATATATCAACGGATGTTACTTATAATATTTGTACAGTAGTGTTATCTATTCTTCGAGTTCTTTGATTGGCTGCTCTTGTTCAGCGTATAGTATTTAAAAAACGAACAGCTAGGTATTTTATTGTACGTTTATAAGACTATTTACTAGCAAGCCGCAAATCACGGGATAAATTATTATTGTACTGATAAAGGTAACTGTAGCAAATCTTGTAGACTCCACAGTCCATAGGAACAGAGAGTATATGCTGACAAGCATTGTTGTCCCACAAACATCTGAACGTACCAACAGCAGGAAAGCCGTGGGCACTGCCTGGATGTGGATGGAGAATGGCCCAATGAGGTCTTGACTGCCATGAACTGCTCACGAGTTTTATTTGTAGGATATTTAGTTTCAATTATTACGCTAACGAATTGACACTAATAAGTGTAGTGATTATTGCTTTCAGATTATACGAGTTAATTTTTATATTGAGGAAACCTCTAAAGCCAACTTTAATAATGCTAAAACTACCGCAACACTACTGAATTTTATATTGACAGCTTGTAGTATGTGAATATTAAGATTTTATTTCTAATCAGAAATAATCTGAACATTTCACGTAAATCTATTTCTATTGCAATAGATCTACGGTGCACGTTTGATTGCACACAATTAGTCAGAAACTATAAAATTAATTGCTAAAAAAATAACTGCCTCCGTGGCCGAACGGTTACCATACCGGACTGCCACGCAGAGGTCCCAGGTTCGATTCCCGGGCCGGGAGAAATATTTGTATGGCCTACAATTATTTCTCTCGTGAGTTTGGGTGTAATTTGTGGTTGTCTAAGTGTGTGTCCATGGCACCCGCGACACAGGGTTTCCCTAGTGCGGGGCTATGTTGAGTGTGTGCGTTATTTATTTATTTAATTAAAACAGTACGTACATCATCACGCTAAAAATTAATATGGAATTCTTTTTTGGATACCTCTAAAGAGAAGGATTAGTCGGGGATATTCGTTTATTATTAAATTTTGAACTTTATTTCATTTAGACGCCGACTGTATTTCGCAGAGATCTTAACTACGTATGTCAGAGTTTAACGATAAGAAGATTGTATTTTAACTTATAAATTAACCTACGTATTCCAATATCTATATTTTAATCTAAAAATACGTTATGCTAAATTGCGCATTTAATAGTTAAATAATATGCGCGTGAATAAAGACAGCTATCATTTGCACGACTTATTCATCACAAAAAGCACTGACGTGACTGTCTGTGATGTCTCTTTAAGTGACGAGTCATAGTACGAGGAATCGAGATAGAGAAATAATAGTCTTACCTCTGGATTTCTTCTTCTCCTGGTCGTACATGATTACGACTTCCATGACCTTGCCATAGCGACCGAAGAACACCCTCAAATCGGTCTCGGTAACGTTGGACGGTAAACCTCCCAGGAAGACCTTGGGGTATCCACCGCCGCGTTTCGGCTTCTGCAACGTGCGCGGATTGCACGGCTTCGGGTCGATGGTTCTGTGTAGAAATGAGTTATATGTACTTTTTGGCGTATACATTTTTATTAGATTTTTACTTATTTGAATTATAAAAGTAAAGTACAACAAAAACCCAGCAATATTATTGTTCATAAAACTAGACTTAAAAAAATGATAGATAAAACACCGCGTAACGTTCGCCATGTTCGTTTTTGGGCATAGTATAAAGTCGAATCTACCAAAATCCATCAAGCTTCTTAGGCTACAGGTGGCCCAAAGAAATGGGCTTGCAAACATACACATAAAAAATATGGCCGTATCTTTTTTATATGTCCGTTGTTGAAGTAATTAAAAAAGTAATTTTAGACCTTTTAGTCTTTACTTATTTATAGGTGTAATGGAACACTATCTGAACACATTAATTAACACATAATAATGTAGTTCTTTATCAGTACCGACAGCGCAATGTGATATTAATAAAGATAATCAAGATTCCAAGAAAATAATTAAGTACAGTCCTGAGCAGCGTCCGATTCCAAATAGTGTAGAAAATAATTTAATCATTTTAATACCCCTATTAAAATGATTACATTATTTTCTCCCGATTATAGTCCCCCGAGTACCGGACACTTAAGGTTTTGCAGCAATTAAACAAATTCAGATCATGTTTTATTACAACACGTAACATTTTGACATACACAATCATATTAGACATTCAAATAAATCAACATAAATAACTATAGAACAATTTTAACAACTAGAAAAAGAAACTAATCATTGGTCTTGTTTTTGGTATCATTGAAAACTGGCAGCTAGTACCGGACTAGTATTAATTCAAACCCCTAATACCGGATAGTACCGCTAGAAATAAAAACTTAGATACAGCAAATATACTGAAACATGATGTACTTATTATTTAAAATAATATAATCTAACATGTGTATATAATTTTAAGAAACTCGGCCATTATAGACTTTCGATAAATCAACACAAACAATAATTGAATTTAGTGAAAACAATTTCAAATAAAAAAAATAATAATAATAAAAATTAAATCTGAGCACTGTGGAATACGCGCAAGTTTCATGTGCCCATTCTTTACATAAGCCACACTGAATCCAGTCTTCTTCGTAGTCTTCGCAACAAACAACACAGTAGTACTTCTCTGGCTGTTTTTCAACCGGTTCTATTTTTGTTTTCTTTATTTTTCATATGTCCTTCGCATTTTTCATTTTGCGATTACCTTCTTCTTTTATTTTATTTTACATTTTATTTTTCTTCTAAACATTTGTATGGCGAATCAGTCAAAATTTCACTTTTTTCAGCTCGACGTTTCCTTGTTTGTTCTCTGTAGCAGCATCTGGTAGTGAAGCAAATTATATAGCATAGAACATTTTGTCAAAATAAAATTATCTCCCTACTAGAGAATTTGTATGGGTAAAAATATACTTGTCCGATACTAGGGAATCAGATATTGTCCGAACGTAGGGACACACCATACCTAAGTAAAATTCGATTTCTATAACGTTTATTAATATATTTGCCACAAAAGTATTTGAATGTAAAATGTACTTACCAATGATAAAAGAAAAAGCAATACACGCAATGTATTCTCTCGAAATAGTAATTTATGACGTTTCCAATATTAGTCGATGCAACTGATTTCCGCGCGAAATGTGCCAAATGTCATCTGTAAATCGTATCAATCGAAACTAAGGCCTCACACGCCGCAGGGGGTTTCTTTCCATTAAGTTTAACGTCTTTTTATAAACGAGAGCAAATGAGAGCATTATTGCATGTTTGGACGTGATCTGTCCGGCACTATGTGCTGTCCGGGGGATTCCCCCTACGCTTGATGCGAAACAAATCAATTTTGCCAAAGATAGTCGTAGAAATTGCTTTGTGTAATAATAGGGGTTAAAGTATGAAATTGCCGATTTGTACTGAAAATCTAAATTGTTTATTTTTTAAATTTTTAACAAATTTATTTAATCAAAATAGTTGCCATTATTATCTATACATTGCTGCCATCTAATGGGAAGGTTATTAATGCCTTTGCGATAGAACTCCGACGATCTAGACTGCACAAACTGTGTGAAAGCATTTTGTACTGCCTCCTGGGAAGAAAACTTCTTGTCACGTAGATAGATAATTGTCCAAATCACGAAAAAAATGGTAGTCCGTTGGAGCAAGGTCTGGTGAATACGGAGGATGACGAATGGTTTCTAAGTGCAGTTCCTGAAGGGTCAAAATGGTTTCTCGTGCTGTGTGAGGTCTCGCGTTGTCGTGGAGCAATAATGGTGAAGATCGATTCATGAGTCGGGGCTGTTTTACTGCTAGTTTTGTCAACATGGTTCGGAGTTCGGCACAATAGACATCTGCCGTTATTGCTTGACCAGATCGGAGAAAACTATAGTGAATAACACCATGCTCAGACCACCAAACAGTTACCATTACCTTTTTATTGGTAAGTTTTGCTTTAGGACACTGTTGTGGCATTTGACCTGGGGTCAGCCGTTGCATTTTTCTTTTCCGGTTATCATAAAGAATCCACTTTTCATCACATGTTACAATTCGATCCAATATTCCTTCATTTCTGTACCGGTTCAACAAGGCAACACAAGTTTCAACACGCGTTTCTTTCTGCAGATCAGTCAAATCATGAGGCACCCATTTTTCGTATTTTTTTATTTTATTGATTTGACGCAAGTGAGTCAATATTGTGGGTAAGGTAACGTTAAACCATGCCGCTAATTCCTGGGTAGTTTGACTAGGATCGGCTTCCACTATCTCTCTTAATTCATCGTTATTCACCTGTGTGGGCGGTCTTCCTCGTGGCTCGTTCTTTAAGTCGAAATTTCCATCACGAAAGCGTTTAAACCAAAATCGCACGGTGCGTTCATTAGTAGACCCCTCTCCAAACGCAGCATTGATATTGCGGGCTGTTTCTGCCGCGTTAGTTCCGCGTCGGAACTCGTATTTCAAAAATCACTCGAATTTTCGCAGTATCCATCTTTCTTGTCTAAATTGAATAACAAAAACAATTGAAAGTCGATATTCAAATGTTTCAAATTTAAAAAAAAAAATCACAGAAACCATTTGAAAAAAGTTTCATTCGAAAACCTCAAACCATGAAGATTCTATGAAAATTCAAAGAACCTATTGCAATAAAACGGCAATTTCATACTTTAACCCCTAATATTTTTTTAGTTCCGATTACTTGAAAATGGAATTTGATGCTGTTTTTACTGATGTTGTGATTCAAATGCAAATATGCACTAAGCAAATTACACTGAAATTGTCAAATTGATAAAAACATTACTCATTCGTGAGGTAAGTAAATTCCCTAGAAAAAAATTAATAAGAAACTATAGATAGAGGTTACTCTTTGTAGACAAATTTGTTCATTAAAGCTAAAGCTAAGAACTATCCCCATTAAATTAGTTTTGCAATAATAAAATAACTTCGAGTTCAATCCTTCCCTTTGGGAGCTACAATGCTACACACAGATATAGAGACAAAGGCTTTTAACTCCCCTTTTTTGCATCGAGTGTTAAAAAGAACTAAACGGATTACTCCCATGGAATATTGTCATCCAAATAAGCAGAAATTATATAATAACGCCACTGTAAAGTTTCACAGTCGTTTTAATTATTTCTGAGTGTAAATCGAGTATATTACGATCAAAAGGCAAATTTTCAATAAAAGTAATAAAATTAATTTATAAGACTCCATTAAACAGTTTTCCGCACTGCGTTCGCGTGCTACGAAACAATACCTATAGCCGGTAGGCAGTGCCGAAAAGTTTAGTGGCCCTATCGCACAATCAAAGGATCCATTGTGTATACTGTTTGTGCTATGGGCGCTGGTCGAAACATTATTGTTACAAATGAATTGCATTATTCTGTGATAACCTGATAAAGGATAATAAAATAAGTCCAAATGCGTAAATCTTAGCAATGCAAAAAGAGACATTATATGCGTAACCTTCAATCCTTTATTGCAACATCCACCTTTCACCCATTCCTATAGAACTAAATGTAATAATTCTCTATTTAGTAAGCATATTCTGGGGGCCTTTCGAGCTTACTACAGAAGTCTTGTGTTTGTACTCTTACGTATTACGTAACACAACCCTCACAAAAACATAAATTCAATTTAGTGTAACTTTTATAAATAATATAATGTATACGTCTTATATAGACTAAACGTATTACGTACGGCATACGATGTGGAACACGATATTGGTAAAAAGAAAGATTGCTCGCTATAGGTAACCCCTTTCCCTTCATTAATAAAAGAAGTACACATGTGTACTCAAGTTTAGAACCCATAAAAAGGAATAGTTAGAGTAACGCAAAATAATTCGAGCGCACAAACACGGCGATACTGATGATGTGAGCATTATTGCGCTCCGGTTTTTAAGGGTAAGGCTGCCTTTCCACCAGACATGTGCGAGGTAGCGAGGCGGTAGGAGGTTGTGTAGCGGCGCTATGAAACAGTGTGATGTTTTCCACCAAAGCTGTGCGAGGTAGATAGGCCGTAAAAGAGTGTGCAGCGGCACGGTACGAGGATGCGTTACAGACTCTTTTCAGCTATGCGCGGGCGGGGTATGGTGTGGTGGGGTGAGCGGTGGCGATGTGTCAGTGTCAGTTAGTGTCATACTTTCAGTAGCTCTAGTTTCCTACACCGTTTTGCACATATTCCTCGCCCGCATCCCTCGCACACATTCTTCGAGCACATCTCTCGCTATTTTGTATATACAAATATTTAGCTTCGCTAACCCTTTTCCACCGGAGCTGCGCTAAGTAATCCTATTGGTGAATTTTTCCTCGCCAAACCGCCTCGCTACGTCGCACATCGCTGGTGGAAAGGCAGCCTAAGGGTGCTGGTGAAACTACAATTACGTGACACGACCATGACAGCGGCGCCACAGGGTTCGGTGGTAGATAGGAACATAAATTGAGGCTACCAGCGCAAAATACCTTTATCTCTCACTCTAGGTCTACTACACTTCATTCTGGGTAAAATTCATCGTCATCCACCCATATAAGTCCCGCTTCTAAGCACAGGTCTCCTCGGGGAAGTTTGTGGGAATAGTTTTAATTTAGTTAAGTAATTTTAAGAAACCTTCGACAGATTCTAATGGTTCACGAGTAAAAAAAAACGAATAAATATCGAGTTCGTAGGTTTGCGCTACTACTACCCATTGGAAATGAAACTATGTATTTTCTGAATGCAAATCGAGTATACTTGCTTTTTCAAACAAACCAATGTTTTGTACACGTAACCATGTCTCATGGTCACGCTTACTTTTGTCCAGAAAAATATATAGTACACATGTAACATGGTAAAAAACTATATAAAAATAATTAAAGCAGACTTTTTATTTGTCTTATTACCTGCCATCAAGCTGATGCGGTCCATTCTGCAGCACAACGTTCACCAATGAGGGTTCGGCAAACGTTACGAAGCCAAAACCCCTGGACCGACCAGACTCGCTGTTCTTCATCACAACGCAGTCGATAACGTCCCCGTAGCGGGAGAAATAACGCTGCAGGTTCTCTTGGGAGGTCTCCCATGACAGTCCACCAACGAACAGTTTTCTGTAACAAATAAAAACTGTTAATGTCCACTATTTTGTTTTGCATCATTAGGACCGTTTTTTTTAACGCACACACAGCCCCGCACTAGGGAAACCCTGTATCGCGAATGCCATAGTGGCGCACGCACGCACTTTTCCTGTAATATCCAGCAGTGGACTACCATAGTGATAAAAATACCCACAGGATATACGACGATATGGTTGACCTATACTAAAAACAATTATCTTGTAGAATTACGCAACAAGCTTTTTAATCTTCTACTTGTTATTGTTATTCCTAGCATTTTAATGTAACTTAACCAAGTCGTCATTCTCCCAAATCGATGCATATAAAATACATACTCCAAAAGATCAAATAATTCAAATGCAACCATAAGGTACTATAAGTACTATAGTGTAAAATTCACTTGCACGATGTCCAGTCGTGGTACTGTCTGTGGTACTGATAAAATAGTACTTTGGGCCGCATTCGGTAGATTTTTACTCCAGAATATTTGTCTTATTGAATTTAATTTTTTCCCCGTTTCAAATCGCAGAAGCTATACTCAGGTGGGTTTTCTTAATGGCGATGAAAGGGAGTTAAGGTCGCAGTATACGGGACGGGGACGGGACGGTAACGGCAAAATATCGTCGACGATGATATTTTATACGTCCCGCTCCATTTCCGTTATACTTGAATACTGTCTTTGTTTTTTATTTACTTTACCTTTACTCTTGCGTGCATCATGCCAAGTATAGTGGTGTTCACTTTCGTAGATCCAAGTTCAAGGCTGCTAATGGATGGACTGCATGTCAGCTGTTAATATGCATGCAGTCGAGACTACAAACAACTGCAAGCGTCAGCTGCGGTCATTGTTAAATGAGTGAGTCCAAGACTCAAAAACCGCAATTAACATTCTTAACCGGTTCATAGTCAGTAAGGGTACATTCCCACGGCCCGTGAAATCAAACGCGTCGATTTGTGCGGGCAAGCTCGCGAAACAGACGAGTATCGAGAGCTTTGAAGTTACCGACTAACGGCGGATCCGAACAGGCCGTCAAGGGTGAGCACGAGCGCGAGAGGCGACCCTCATCCCACGGCGCTTTTGCGCGAAATCGCGGCGCGAGATGGGCCACGGGCCGTGGGGAGTGGCCTTAACGGCGTCTGCCGTAGAATTAAATATGAGAATTCGATAGTACGAGGTGACCCGCTTCGCTATATAGATATCAAAAACCATCTTTGGGCTTATAGTACGACTTCCAGGTGCTTTCTGTGCAATTGCCAACTACTGCTCCTTCATAGAGAAGTATCAACAAGGTACTGACAAAATTCAATTATTTACACGCATACATTTGTGGACGTTACATTAGGACAGTACGGTGGACACCGATGTATTTCTGTGAGGTGATACAAGTACATGTCAGTGCTATTGAACTTTCTAACTGCAAAAGTAAGTTTTAAATATTTTTCATTCTCCAAAACGTATGTTTTAATACGAATTCAATATGACACAATGGCAATCATCCCACTCCTAATAATAGTCGTACTTTATTTTATACAATAATTTTAATGGGATTAGCCGTAGATAATAAAGCGTAATTGTTAAATTAAATCAATATAAGCACTACTTATACTAGGCTCAAAGAAAAGTAGCGACATTTTGGAGTGCGGTACTTTTTAAGTACTGTCCATGAACGGGTTAAGATTTTTTTATTTAATTTTTTTTTTGTGCCTCACCCAACTTAATATTTTTACATTAAGGTAACGACTATTGGAGGTTTTACGACGTAATCAACGTAATGACAAAATAAGAATACGATTGGTTTTCACTAATCTTTTCTCATTTGATTTTTTCACATTTACACAATTCTTCACTTTTTTTTTTGTAATCTAACTCTAAAAGATTTTTTTTACCTTTGTGTACATTCTGATTGCAAATTGCACTGCAGAGTGTAGTCGGGAATTACAGACGTGACTTTGTGACTAATAACCTAACCTCAGTACAGAGTACTAAAAAAACGACCTCAAACGTCATTCATCCCCTAGTTTACCACCCTTAGAGGTCGAATATTTTCTTCAAATTTAAATGGGACCACTTATGAGGTACCCTCTTTCCAACAAAATAAGAATCATCAAAATCGGTTCACAAATGGCGGAGTTATCGCATAACATACATACAAAAAACAAGAAAAAAAAAAGAAAAAAGGACACAGTCGAATTGAGAACCTCCTCCTTTTTTCAAAATGATGAATGAATTTTTATCAAAATGAAGGATTTCATAATTCATCATAAATTTATTCATAGTTTCATGTGGATTCACAAAGTTGTTATACAAAAACTATAGTGACTGTAACTTAATTAATTATTAATTTCGTATGCTATGTCATTAATTATTTATAATTAAAAAAGATGTTAAAAGTAATATAAAAAATTAAATCATAATGATTACAATAAAAAATGCATAATAATTGTTATAGTGAAGTTAAGCTAATTTAATTTATAATTCATTCGTCAAAATTGGAAAACCTAATGAAAAAAAAAGACAAAAATAAATAATCTTAACGAATGTCCTTAAATTATAATTATGTTTCATAATGTCAAAAACGTGATACAAACTAATTCTTTAATTAATTTATTATATCTTTGTTATGTCAAAATCAGATGATTATTGAATGTTAATTATTAAATGTCAATAATTATATAAACCGAAAACCAACATGTTAAGCAAACCATAAAAGTATTTTTTAAATGTATTATTTCTTGTATTATTTTTTTTATATTCAGACATTTTTTTTATGATACTATGGTGTTAGTACACTTACTAAAATAACGTAATGACTAGGTTCGTGGTAATAATAATAAATAGTTTAAAAATTAACACAAAATGAACATAAAATAAAATTTATTTAATAATTGTTTTATCATAAACGTATTTGGCATAAACGTAACATGTTGTTAAGGCCTTTATGTCGTTTGTGATCTTTTTAAGTTCCCAGAGTGAATATGTAAATTTAGATAATTTCAGTGCTATCTTTTCTATACTGACTGACAGTAATGAGATAATGCCCACCACTTTCTATTATGGTGTCTATTTCTGCACTTCCAGCATCTATTGCGTTTTCAAATAATTCCTTTACTACACTCGCTGGCATTCCATTACTTCTACAGCTGCTTTAAGGTTTTTGTGTCTAAAAGAATTATTGCCATATTTCCAATTCTCGGTCTGATCAAGATCAGCTTTAATATCAATGAAAATCAAGCACTAAGCAAACTGAAATACCTATTAACGTGATCGAAACGTACAAAGGAAAGTACTTTTTAAATTTGTATCTCAAAAATCTGAGCTTGGGTATGAACGACCTCTAATTTCAGCTATGTCTACTGTCTCAACTCTTTCTAGATAGGTGTTAGGCCTACTGGGTGGAAAAAATACTCTTGTTATAGGTATCTTATGTAAGTAACAATCGTCAATACTATTTCGACCACGTCTCCGATCAGGAAGTCTTTTATTTTGGTTTATAAGTATATGTCCTGTAATTCCCTTAGGGGCTCGTTTATTATGGCGACTAACATCATACCCAATATGAGGACCATGTGGTCCCTGTAAATCTGGTTCAACAACAGGGTTATCAAAGTTAATTCTTAATGTGTATCTCACGTTTTCTTTCATATCTGGAACCCATACAAGAACTATAGCTTCCATCTCCACTGGATATAGTGCTACGTCTATTTTACCGAATCCTGTAATGCATAATATTGTATCATACTTTGTTGCCTTAAAATTTCCGCTATCAACAGATATACGCTTTTTGCTAATACTAGAAAGTGCTTGGTTAATTTTATTAAGAGCTTCATCATAACCTTTAATAATTTGTAGATGAGTTTCCTCATTTGTTAACAACTTACATTCCCGTAAATCTACGTCTTTATTTTTATCAAATTTCCATTGGCCTCTGGAATTAGAATGTTGATATGGTGATTGATTTTCTGATTGTTTATTTATTGTGCAAGTAGGTGCAGAAATGAAAACATTACCACCAACCGCACCAAGAGATATAGGAAGTCGGTGCCAGCCTTGCTGAATGTGATACCGTATTACTTCATCACGTTCAATACAATTAGCTATCTTAGCTCTAAATTCTTCTGGTCCTATCATACGTCTTAACGCAGGTATAACTTTTAATAAAGCTTCATATAAGCAATTATTCTTTTTTGATTCAAATTCACTACTTTTGTTGTTTTCTGATGTGTTGCTTGCAATGAAATGATTATCGTTGAGCTCAAGTGGAATAATTATACCTTCTTCACCATTTGATGTAGATGAAAATCTTTGTCTTATGCCACCATCCCCTTCAACAATAATCGTCAGTGCTGGAATCATAATCCCTTCGTTTTTTAATATCTTATGTACGACTCGAGTGCAAGCATTAACACATGTCATATCCATTTGAATATTTTCTCGAACTATATCTGCGAACAAGTCAGGATTTCTAGTTTTAAGCATCAACTTAAGTAAATCTTTATGATAGTTTTCTGTAATGTTGTTTTCTGTTTGTGATGTATTATCATATTGTTGTTCATCCTGTAGTTTTTCGAGATACTTCCGTTTCAATTCTTCAAAGTCCTCAAGATGCCAACTTTCTTTGCAATATTGATATGTTTCTTGCATTTTTTTTCCAACATATCTAACCAAATGATTAGCACCTTCTTTTAAGATAGGGCCCAAAATATGGCGTGCTATAATTTGCCCAGCCTTTTCGCGAAGCAATGATTTCCATCGACCAATTACTTCTTTTTTAAAGCTCTCAGAGCCATTCTCTACCACTCGTTTTTGAGTTGATATGCTAGGGTTATTTAGTCTACTTTTTATTTCATTATCTAAGTTATCTAAAAGATTATTAGTTAGCCTTGTTATATTGGCAATGTGAGCGAAACGTTCTGACCAAACCACTACTTTACCAATAGCATCAATAGGTAATACCAACTTCTTATCTGTTTTGCTTCTTTTCTTAACAGCTTCT